TGAATTTTTAACGATACGATACGCTCATTTCGGTCCGCTATAAGTCGGAGAAAGGAATAATTGTCGCCGTTCGCAATTGATTATCTTGCAACAACGTCCGACATGCGATTAAGACGCGCCAAGTGGCAACGGGCATTTCGTTGAATTTAGACGCCGCGTCATCCTTAACGGGCCGACGATTGATCACACGCGTATCGTCATCCTCAATATTCGCGATTATCTGCGAGGCAAAGAGAATCCTTTTCCGTCAAGGTCCTTCCAATATCGCATGTCTTCGCGTACTGCTTTCGACTCTGCGCGATGCCTACGCGGCGTATTTAACGTTCACCAACTGTGTCGGCATTAAGGTTTAGTCAGCATAAATGAGTTCATCGTTGAGAATCGCGTGCATTTTTGACGTATCAAATGTGCGAAGATTCGAACATAACAGCAATCATATTTCATATTTTACTTGTAGTTTAACGTAAGAGCCCAGACGTACAATGGATTTGAGAAATATTTCTATAAAAAATATATAAAATTGTAGAAAGTCATCTTACATATAAATAATTTATATCTGTTGTAACACATTTTTTTTTAATTTATCGTAGCGAAGATTTAATGGATTCGGGAACCAACAACGAAACGTTTAGCACAACTATTGATGAACTTCTAAGAGAACAGTCAGATGAATGTTCCGTTATACGCCGAATAGAAACTTCATCTTTAGAAATACATTAGGACTTTCAAAGGGACCGATGAATTATAGGGCACCGCATAGTTCAGGCATACTTGTGTCCCGACGTATACTCAAGTTGTTAATGGTATATAATTCACAGATTACAAGTCCTCATTGCGCTAAAAAAAGGGCGTTACCCCTTGAGATCATACATTAATTGTCTGCCTCGCGAGGCAGACGATTAATGCGCATTTACGCAACATCGAGGGTATTCGTTCTCAGTATATCTCTTTTTATCTCGCGTGTCGCATGTCAGATAAGGAGTTAATTGACATTGATGAGTAGCATAATTAGTGACGTCACGGCGAATAGTAAATAAGAAATCGAAAGTGGAAGAATAGCGGTTCGACATCTCGTTATAGACACACTATGGTCGCTCGTGGTACGCGAAAACGTGATTTAAAATGCCTAAAAGATTTATAAAGATAACACGTCTACCTTACATGTAATATTGTAACTGTTTGATGACTCGAAAAAGAAAAAGTAAAAATAAATGCTCCACGGGCTCGTCCGGGATTTGAACCCGGGACCTCTCGCACCCGAAGCGAGAATCATACCCCTAGACCAACGAGCCGCTTCGACAGGTTCTCCTTCATATGGGAACACTAGTGGAACACGCTACAATGTTATGCTAAACTAATTAGTGATCTTACAACATAATTGTATGAGATGTATGATTAGTGTTCCACCTGCCGCGCAAGTCCAGTCACGCTCGTGTGCATTCGGATTTGTGTTTATCTCACAAGAAACGGAAATAAATATTCTATATCTTCGGACGAGGCGCGTTTACGAACGTAATCTACAAATCTGAAGTATCCTTTTCTTTTATTTTTTCCGAAAATGTTCCTCGACTGCAATTATTTTGATCAAATTTAAATATATAATACTCGATTTTAATATTTGACGCTTACTATTTAACTATTTTACTATTTAATAACATGATATTCGATTAAATATATTTAATTCTTGAAATTAAAATTTCCCAATTATCAAATCTTTTCCTTATAAATCTCAAATTTATAGCTGTGTAATTTAATAATACGAGATCATAAGCGACGAATTGCAACGTACTTACAAACCTCTTGTCTTCATTCTATATCGCCTTTATTCCATTTTCATCCATTTTTCTCTTTCGATCTACGATTTGAATACACGGATGATGTAATGAAGTAGCACAAAATAAAATGAAACTGTAATTATTTACAAGAAAGAAAGAGACTGTATTATTTACAATCATGGAACGTAAAATACGCGCGATTGATCGGAACAACGTGTGGTGACGAGTAGTGAAATGGCGGGAGAAGAATCGGAGACAGCGTGGAGCCCGTGGCTCCATCTGTAGTCAGGGAAGTAAGTTCGCGTTGCGTGCCTATTCGCCTTCGACCTGCGCGCATCATTTCATCGTGGAATAATCAACGTGTTTTGAGGAATGCATGTGGCCTACAACAAAGTTGAGGAAAGGTCACGAAGCGTGGGTTGCGCAATTACTTTTCATCGCGCGAACGTAATTGCGGGACTCGTTCGCGCAAGGGAAGAAAAAGGGAGGAAGAAGAAAAGAAGAGGGAGGAAGAAGGGAAATATTCTTTATGTACCCGTTTCCACCCGAGACTTGAGTTAAACGATGAGGGTTTCGTGAGGCAAATTTTCAACCCAAGGGTTAGAAGAATCTTTCCTTTGGGACAACTTGCCTTTTCTCAAAAGAAAACGAGAAATAAATGAAAATCTTTCACTATTGCAATAATTCTATTGGCTGTAAAATGATACATTCTAGCAAAGAGGATTATTCTAATCCTCTGAATAAAAAAAAAGAGAGAATTCAAAAACGATTTCTTTTAAAGAAAACTGATCTCTTTTTGAAATCTCAGATAACAATAGATATTACTTGTTATTAAAATGACACCAAATAATGTTAGTTACTACTTAGGAAGACAGGAATATTGGGGTAATCTCATAAAAAAAATAAACTTTCATAACATTGCTGCATTAAGCAATATTTTTTAATTAAAACTGAGTGATTTTTGATCGTAAAAGGCTGAGATATCGATTAAGCGATTCGATAATCCCCTCATTACTTTATGATGACTTGAATTATTTCACACACTAATAGTCAATCAAATTTCATTGAAAACATTACAAAAAATATCTGAATATTTATTCACAAAAAATAAATTTTAAAAACTTATTTAATTTTAGTATTGGTATTAAATAGGTAAGATACACAGATTGCCTTTGTTACAGTTCTATCGTTTTTCTCTTAGACTATACACAAAACTTATTTCCATAATAATCTGCTTTGGTTGGTATGTGTCATAATAAAAAAATTCTTTTGAAAGGTCAGCTAGATCAATAATCAATAATATATTAATTATTTGAAAAGAGTTTTTAGTTCAGTTCCTGTTAACAAAAGTAGAACAAGCTTATCCGAAGGAAAAGGCAAGAAAGATCTTTACTGCAGGTAAAAGAAATATATAAACATAATTTTTAAAGAATGTAAGGTCCGAAACTTTTATTGAGAAAAAGGTGGTTAAATCCATTAGGAATAAGCTACCCAAAAAGCTACGGTCCCTTTGATGCTTTAACTACAAAGGTTAGATAAAAAAAATATATTCTATTGTTAAAACATGTGTTTCATCTATAGAAAAAGGGTTCGATAACAATAGAAGGAAATTGCACGTTGTGAAGAGAAACTTCTGATTTATTTAATGAAGTCCAAATCCAGTTTCGGTTGACACGAATTCATTATCATTTTAATCTTTAAATTCAATTAATTGCCACGTTAATTACAATGGGGGTAATGGAAATTCGATACTTCATTTGCGCCGCGTATACCATTAATTCATCGCTAATTTCGCATCTTTCTCCGGCGACGGTGAAATTTTCGTGCAAACGAGAGCGAATTTTCGTTTAACGCGCTCGTTTTTTGAAATATCGCTCGCGGCACGCACGCGAGAGAAACGCGACGTGATTTAGGCACGCACGCACAAAGGAAAATTTCGATTGGCGAACGAGCGAACAAACGTGATCTCCGGCTCGTTATAAGCACTGAATTTAATCGGCCATCAAGCACGAGTCGAGATCGCCATGTCGTCGTTCCTCCAAGGACGTGTCTCGAGAGTCATCTCGTTACATGCGTACGTACGTACGCGTATAAATGCGTGATGTATCCGCTCTGGTCGAATCGTAGAACCGGGTAATACCGAGCCACGGTGTAACGCAATCGTTTCGACGCACGCCGTGCCGAGCATCGACGACTCGCATTAAATGTCACATTCTAAATAGCGAACCATTACGTAAAGCGAACCGCCGTAAATCGACTCCTTGATACAGAAGCGAAGCGTACGTATCGTCGTTGTCGCCGCTGCCGCCGGAGCCATGGGACTTTCCCACGTTACCGCTTGCTCGAAGAAAGTCACGAAAATGACCCTAATTCGCCGACATTAGGCCACCGCAAGAAAAAAAGAGGCATTAACCGCGACGAAAACGAAAGTAGATTTTTTTTCTTGACGATTAATCACACCTCTGAGACCTTTTTCTGTATCAGAAAATTAGGATATTTAACTGGTTCTCTCTTTCTTGGGTAACACCTGGTAAACATCGATGTCACTTCGAGGGAAAAAATTATTAAGTTTTACATTTGTCTTTCTAACATGGAAGACACCGATTAACTCTAATGACAGTTATAAAACACGCGGTTTTGATAGAGTAATTTGTAACTTTTTCTTTGGTGATTATTACATTTACCGTTTATATGAAATTTTTCTAAGATGTAAATCAACACCGTAAATAACAATCTGAATCATTGTGTTTTTTTTTCATTCATCCTCATTATGAGAATCGATCTTTCTTCAGCGACTGAAAGATTAGAATCAGTTAATAAAAATCATCAAGATTGATCTTTTCCAAGGAAGAAAAAAAGCGGATCTTGTTGATGTCACAAACTTTGCGAGACCGCAAGTGTCTGTATATCGTAAAAAAAAAAAAATACTGAAAAGACTAGGAGGAGACGCGAGGAAAGGAGTAGGAAAAGGCGAGAAGAGAGGGCATCGAGTTGAGGCCCCTCCCTCAATCCCCACCGTGCAACGGAGAAGGATTATCCGGTCCCCCAGCAGGATCCCCACCACAACTAGTCTGACAGGACCCACCTGTACCACTCGGTTAGACTGTGCACGCTTCTCCGCTGATCCGGCGCACAGTATGCCCATAAGGCCCATTCGAGGTATACTTACGAGAGCGCACGAGCGAGCCGCGCGCGATTAAGCGAGCGAGCGAGCGAGCGAGCGAGCGAGCGAGCGAGCGAGCGGAGAACCGATCGGGCAACCGAAGTGGGACCGCGGAAAATAAACGTGCAGAAGTGGGGGCCGATTCAAGAATCGATGTGGACACCCTCGCCTACCAAAGTCATTCACCTAACGGTCATCGGCGCGTCAAGAGTCCTCTTCTTCTTCCGTTATCCGGTCTTGCCAATCGCGACAAGTCGCGCTTGCCATCGCGGCGGTCGGTGCGCGATCTGTCGTTCCAAATGAAGGTGCCGCGTGGTGTAAGTAGAAGATACAGATTTCGGCTAATCTGAAATTCGTGACGCGGTCCAGGACTGACCTACCACGAATGAAAGCGGTCGAGATCTCTCTACCCGAGAACTCGACTGCGGGTGCATCGCCGGAGTAGGACAAGTGCATGACAGGGTTGCTACGTTGAGTATGACGAGAGACTTTGTTTCACCGAAACGCATGCATTCGGGAATGAAAATTTATTTCCAAGTGTGTGACTGACTGTGCGGTTTTGTGTCGTGTTACTTTTTGCCTGTAGCCGACCGAGGACGATGGACAAGAGTCTCGCGGTGTTTAATATTCGGTCGAATGGCGAAAAGTGCCTCGGGAGACTTGTCTTCGGGAAATAGTTGTGATACAGAAATGGAATGCTCCATCTGAATCGAATCGCTGCCGAATGCTGCTCATATCTGCACGACGTTAATTCACTGTAATTACAAAAGTACGTAATGCTTTGCGATAGTTCCCGTCGAACTAAGAGTTCCGTGCGATATTAAAATGCAATATCGGCGTTTCTAATGTGTCATTTTATTAGTCTCGAAATTATCATTCAGGAATTTTTTAATAATATCGGTAATCGAAAATCGAAAATCGGTATCGAAAAATCAGAATGGTCTGGAAGAAATTGAATCATTCGGCGATTGAAATGAGGGGGGGGAGTGGAAGGAGTCATTAACGATGTCGTTCGGCATACTTAATGATCGAGAAATTTTCAACATTATCGCGCATTCAATTAATTACGCAATTAACTGGTTTACTAGGCATACCCGCACTCGCAATCGTAACTGATGCAGTTTTAATGATATCGGACCGTGTAATTTCACGTCACGCCTCGGAAACGACAGTGTGATCGAGCACGCGAGAGCAATGAGAATCCGCCGCGGAATCGTTTCGTCGCGGATTAGGCACCGCGATGAGTTTTCGGTCGCGGCTCGTCAGTTCTGATGGACGCGCGCGCGTTGCCGCGGCCCGTTCGTCTTCGTAAATCGTGGAATTTATTCGCGGCATCACGCCGCGACGAATCGCCCGCGCGTCTATCGAGGGCCGGTTACGACAATAGAATCGGAAATAGCGCCGCGCGATGCGTTGCATCGCGTTGCGTTGCGTCGCGTCGCGTCGCGTCGCGTCGCGTCGCGCGCAATGCGAAGGCCGATCGGCGGAGAATGCGCGTTGCGGAACGCCGCTCCGTTTCGAAAGAACGGAAGTTACTCTTTGCAAACTGGAGCCATCGCATCGTTCGCCGCGAGATGAGATTGCGCGATGCCGGAATTGCTTCCCCGCAGGCCGATCGATCGCCGCGTCGATAGACGCGTTCGAGCCGAGGTTGTCGATTAATTTAGGCGAATAGGTACATCGAACGATGGAACGATCAATCTTTCAAACAGTTAGTACCAAGAGATAGCGAGAATCGCCGTCGGCCGCCGGATCGTTTTGGTCCATACGATGTTTTGATGTCGAAACGAATTTTTCCGGTTTACAACAAAAGAGGGAAAGAAGAAAATCGTCATTTGATAAGTCAAAGGTTACAATATTGAGCATGAGCTGTTTTTTTAATCCCTTTAGCTTTCACATTTCCACAAAAAATGTAACCATTCCGTAAAAAAAAAAATACTTTGTTGATTTCTATACCCCGTTGCTAATTTTCGTACATCCGAGCCAAAACTGCCAAGCCTTTTATTTAGGGAAAAAGTGAAGCGAAAATATATTTTTATTAGCTAAAAAAATAACGAAAATGGCATAGGAAAGCTTTTCTCTTCCAGTAAGAATGCGTGCTTTCTCTTAAAAAACGAACTATCTGTAAGAGTTAAGCATTAAATAATAGTATTGACCATTATTTTGCAGACTTTAAAAAGATCTTTCTGCTTTTATAGTTTCTTTATGCATTTCAACCTTTTTATTTTATAACACATCTCACAATCTCAATACAAGAAAGGTTGCAAACCCTTGCAAAAAAATCGCACATTTTCGGTTATTTATTATTATATGCCATTTTGACAAAAAAAACCTTTTTTTCGCGTGAAAGGATAGAATTCAATTTATTTATATCTTTTCCCTTTAATCATACGAAGTAGAATCCAAGTATGAGGATAATGAGACGGCAGGTTTTCCTTTTACGATAATGCTTTCCGTCTCTTTTGTATAGTTGCCTTTGGAATTCCCTGCCTGATAAAATATAGTTTATTTCTGTCTTTTTTATATATGTATATCATTCGTATCGGTGCTGCTATCTTCATTCAGAAAATGCTGAGCATATATAGACTTGCTAGATTACAATTTTATATCATTTTTGGTGTGCATTTTTACGTAACTCTGTTATCGCATGCTCCAGATTGTTATAATCGCAATAATTATTATTATGCAATCATGAAGTCCTGTTTATTTGTCTTACTAAAAGATTCATCCCACTCTTACATTTAATTTATGAGGACATATATGATGTAATGTTACGTCCGCTTTTTACATTCTCCTTATTGCATGTGTATTTTTTTTTTTTTTATTTGCATGTGTGCGCATACGTTTTATTTTATTTTTGATTGAGTTTGAATTGAATTTTTTTTTCTTTTAATTGATATCGTGGGTATCTCGTATCAAGGTTAAAGTGAATTCTACTCTATTCCGCTCCTCGATCGACGGGAAAGTCCTTTTTTTTCGTGATGAAAGATATAGCGGGTGGTTGAGAAGGTCAGCATGGGAAAGGAGAATAAACGCGGCGCGATTCGCAGAAATTACGAACGATCGCTTTGTAGGCATCCAGACAGATGCTCACCTCTTTACCGTCGTCAATGATCGCCGGGCAGAGACTTTGCGCGGGAGTTACGTTACGATTCTCACGGCTCGGCCTGGGCCTGCCTGGCGCAACAATTGCACGCGATCCGCAAGGTCAGGTCTCGTGGTGGTCCCCAATGATCTTGGCGATGATCGCTGCCGCCGAGATTCACTCTCGGCGATAATCGCCGATCGAGTCTCGTCGCCGAGGGAGTCTCGTATGCCGAGAGACGAGCGTTTATTACGGAGCGTCTTCACGCCTTCGAGTAGCGGCGGACCTCCGTCATCGGTTCGGATCGAAGATCTGAATTCAAATGATTTTCATTGCCAGAGATCTCGAATCGTATATTCTCGTTCCCGGAATTGGGCACGAGCCATATTGTAACGCAGAAGTGATGCACTTCTGCAGCAACATCCCGAAAACAACATTACGAAAAGCACGAAAGCCGAAATCCCTCATTGCCGCGAGGAAACGAAGAAACGTAGGAAAATTGTAAGGAAGACGACACGTAGATCACGATAATAGCTTGTAATCTTTAAATCCGCGTGCAGAGTCGAGCAGGCTGTTACGGTTACCGAGCCGTGAATCAGCTATTTACATGCGCCAACCGCGATGGTCAGAGATCGGCATAACAAGTGCGCGGCGACCACTTATCGTCGCCGGACGTAATTGTAAAATTCCCAATTACGCCGAATAATTCTCGCAAAGCGAGATAGATAGATAGCTTTTATTAATCGCCTGGGTAAAACCAAGACGCCTGTATGTAGGATAATACAATGTATTGCAATTGGAAAACATTCATGTCGCAATCCTTACTATCTTTTTACTTTTTTCAATTCTTTTCAAATCTTCAGATATTTTTCAGACAAAAATTAATCAGTTCTACGCATACGTACGTATACTCGGCAGTTATATACATAGCATTATCTTAAGAATTATTTTTAAAAAGATCAAAAGAGAATCTATAATTTATTAGTTAGATGTAACTTATTAATTTAATTTTTTTAATTCTAATATATGCGGTTGTTTGTATTTGATGATTTCTTCCATTCGTACGCGGATCCTAATCCGTTAACCTCATTTGATCTTATCGGTCGACATTGTGTTGTATTCTGTTGCGACATCTCGGCACGACAACAATATCATTTAAACATCGCAATTGCATCGGCACGGAACGCACTGCCGTGCAGAGGAATCCACCAAGTGAGACTTACCTGTTACCGGATGCACACCTCTACGGATCAGCATCGGTTGCCATTGGCCAGGCGCCACAGGACCGTGTCTGTGTCATCGTCGAGCGATTTATCATTAGGCCATAATCTACGAAAAGTCGAGCAATTAAGCTTACGAAATGGGGAGCCTTGAGGCTGTCGCTAATGAGATTATACCGAATAATTCGATCACGGTTGAGAAACGCCCGGCGATGTCGCTCGGTTTTGTCAGCCGTCGAGCGTCACCGAGCAAGCCACGACACGGACACCGCCGGTTTTTCGAACGTCGTTAGAAAAATATCGCAAACTGTGGCGACAGAACGATCACGTAAGAAGAGATATCTGTGCGCTGGACGCAACTCGAAATAATAAGGCGGGGTAAATTATCGAACAACCGTGAAATGGATCTAGATCAGATTTCCCCTTCGCATTACGCTTCCGTGGCAGGAAGTGTACGAATGCGAGGATAAGACGAAGAAAAAAGAAAAATATAAATACGGAATCGCCAAGCGCCAAGCTACGTAGGTATGCCGCACGGCAGAAACGGCGGCATCCGCAAATGATAAGTGTCAACGACTGTTGGGTGTAGGTCAGGAGAGACTCCGTTGATCAAACAACATGGATGTCTCTTCCATTAGTTGAAATTTACTTTCCCATTTAGCGACAGTCTGTCACGTATGAAAGTCGCTGGAGGTAGATATGGTTGTACCCTCCGGGCCGCGGCAAACATCTGGGTCACCGCTTTTGTCCCATATTCGTGATTGCCAGGCATTTCGATGGGAAAAACGTTAGAGACACGTCGCGCGAACGGACGAGCATGAGAAACGAGAGATGATACATACGTAAAAAAAAAAAGAAAAAAGGACACGCGGAGAAACGTTAGAGCAGAAGTCCATCCCGTCCGATTTCCGATTCGAGTGGCGTCGTCGTTCCGCTGGCCTACGCAAATGCACATTGTGCAAGGGATCACGGCGTGAAATAAGAGCGACGAGGTGTGAAAACGAGACCGCGGAGCCACGGTCCGTTTTCTGGACGATCGGCCAAAGAAGGCGAAAGGAGTCGGCGAGGAACTCAAAAGGAACGGGCGCGAGCAAGAGGGAGACGGAGATAGACGAGAAGGAAAAAAAAAGACAAGCGCGCAAGAGTTTTCCGCTCGTTGAACGTAACACGCACCGCTTTGCCACGATCCAGCGATTCGCGCTCGCGCTGCACTGCAAAGCGGCGCATTATGCAACGCGCTTCTTCTCTTACCCAATCGCGCGCTCGATCGGTGTAGGCGCACGATAAAGATTGCATCGTCGACTTGTCAAAGATACCGCGCGTCCGATCTACTTTTCCTTTCCGTCGTGTAGGAAGCGATTCGCTTAGAAGAAGCTTCGTCGCACGCGCCGATCGTTTCGCAAGGAATTTAATCAACCTTCGAAATAATTTCACTATACCTAATAGTCTTATTTTCTAATATTTCCCAATAACCTTTTTATAACTCATTATAAGTTATATATTTAAGGAATTTAAAACGAAATATTTGAAAAAATATATTTGACTTGTAAATGTTATTGAGAAAATTGGAAATTAGATATGAAGATAGGAGTTGAATTTGTATATATATATATTATATATATATATATATATATATGAATTTGTGCGCGCGCGCGCGCGCGCGCGTGTGTGTGTGTTGTGGGGGGATATGATGTATATACATATGTGTGTACAAGAATGAAGATGATATATAGAAATACTAAATGATTAAATGAAATGTTTCACTCGAAACAATTTCTTAATCTTTCTATTATTAATTTAACATTGCTTTTTAATGTCATGGAGACATTCAAATAAATTTAGTGAATGGAATCAATTTAAACATGATATGATTTTATCTACACAATTAATTAATAATTCTGACTATAACACACACATTATATTATCAATTAAAAATGTTTAGTATCTTTTAAAAAACTAATTTTTATATTATTTATCTTATTTATCTTTAAAAAATTTGGAAACTAGAGTGATAAACATGCCAGAAAAATCGCGTTTATAATTTGTATTAATAACAGATTTGAATTTAATCACTTATGAATTAATATTAAAGAAATAAACTATACTTAGATATTTAAATTAGTGTAAATGAGATTGTTCTTATTAAGATTTTTTATTTAAATATATCTTCTAACCAAAACACCTAAATTTTTTTTCTCTGGTTTAATTACGGAAGTGATGTTGTAAAATATGAAATAATGTATTTTTATATAGGTAACTTGTCGATGTCACGAAATCAATTGTCTTCTATTGCAGATGAATCAGCAGTGCAAGGTGTGCGGCGAACCAGCGGCTGGCTTCCACTTTGGTGCATTCACCTGCGAGGGATGCAAGGTGAGTCTTGCCGTCTGATTTTGGATATCTTTCTTTTACTCTGTTTTTCTTTTATAAGACACGATTGTACTGCGTAAGAGAGAATTGAAAAACAATTAACGATGAGATTATATACAATGCAAATTCTCTCAGTTATCGCTCAAATTTAAATCAGTGTTTCGCATTTTTCGAAATAAAAAAGTTTTCTACAGTTCTTATCTGAAACCATTACGTTCTAAATATATACTTAAGATTCATGTAATTGTGTCGAGATTGAAAAGTACATATAAGTTAGACGAAACAGAAGTGATGACATAAGAGAGCGAATCTGAACTTGTATCTTGTACCTCGCATTGTACGCTCGAGATATTGCAAGAGGAAATCACGTTCCGGATTCTACTAAGAAGCAATAGAGGAAATCGGTCGGTTGCCATCGAAAAAACACGACACGTCCGAGATCAGAAAGAGGAAAGAATTTCGCTTTTGATTTAACAACAACGTCCGTCGTTTTTCCCGTCAGTGGGCATTCTATCTCGATCGCCACACCGATCGGAGAGCTGTGCCGTCGGGGCGATCGTTCTTTCCCGCGATTTCGTAAAGAACCCACGAGCCGGCAGCCAGTGATCGCTTTCACGAGCCATTCCGTGACCGAGGTTAAACATTCGGCCAGGCATGCGTGTCAACCTGGCCCGAGGTGGCTTCTCGCAGCGAATGCACGCGCGCGCGCGATTCGGTTGGAACGCAACAAATCCGATCTCCGCATCGCATCAACGTTAAAAAAACCGCGTTCGTTCGAAGCGTGAAGTGCTCGAAGAGCGAGAAAAACGAGAGCGACGGTAGCAGCGGTGGCAGCGACGGGGGAGAACCGCGGGACGGCGCGGAGGAGGGAGAGCTGACATGCTACGATGGGCCTGAAACGAAAATAACGAAATGAACAATGTCGTGCTGACGTAACCGTGAACTAGGCGGAACAATTGTGGCGGACAAGTGCGAAGCGCCGGAAGTGGCGTCTCGAGGCGATCCGGTGATCGGACGAAAAGGGGAATACTCTCTCTCTCTCTCTCTCTCTCTCTCTCTCGAGTGCGCCCGGGGCCCTGCTCCCTTTTCCTGTTGAATAACAAGCTCGTGATGTTTGCAATTAAATTCCTAAAACGTGGCGAGTTAGGTGAGCGCTCGCCACGAAAGACAAAAGGGGCAAAAATTAAAAGAAGTTTACGACGAGTTTATTCCGAATAAATAATGAACTTTCGGTTGTTTAGCACGAGACGGCCGTTGTTCACCGAGTTTATTCGAATTCAACCGCGATACAATCACGAAATAGAAATAACGTTTATCACCGTTCCAATTCCAAAAATTCTTTGTTTTGTTCCTCCCGAGCATACCGAACGAGCTTCCCGAGGATCCGATAATTGTTCAACGGCAAGCGCTATACGAAACGAGCGTAGCGTGGCTTCCAAGTAGGACCGTTTGCATAACATCAGCGTGCGCGACGGACGAAGAGGGCGTACGGCCGCGGGACGCGGGGAAAGGGGAACCAGATAATAACGGTAGCATTTTCTCAATTGTGTCATCGCTTCTGACGCGCGTCGCGCGTTCCTTTTCTTCCTCGCGAGGCGAGCGTCGCCGTCGCCGGCAAGAAGGTGGAGGACAAGCGACGACGACATCGACGGCGAAAATAAGTGGAACGCGATGCCGGCCCCCATAGGTCTCGGCAATGCGCGCATCGGGACCACCAGGCCGCGCAGGAAGAGCTCGTTTCCAGGACAAACGAACCAGAAACGATTAATAATATAGCGTGCGTACGGGCAGAAAAAGCGAAAGTGGACAACGCGGCCGCGTGCCTCCCTTTAAACGCTCGCCGATTCGCGATGTGACGGCGTCCGCCGTCGGTGCGCCGAGCGACATATAAATCGCGCGACGATTGGGAAATTCTAGCTATCAATCCAAGCGAGGCGAGCCGAAACTGTTGTCTCGCAACGGTCTGACTATAAAAAGCGGCAGTTGGCAATGACGATACGTTTAAAACCGTTTAACATCTTACGTAAAATTGATGTGCGATATATATTTTAAAAAGTGTCTCTCTTGCCACTTCTGTAAAATATCTTCTCTGCGTGAAAAACGGGATTTGGCCTCTTGACAACTCTTGTTGTCGGAGAGGCGAGAGAGAGAATCCATCTCGGAATAAAAATTGAAACCGCGCTCTTCATTACGATTGAGATATATACAGCGATTATATTTTTATGTGTGTTTCCTCCCTTCTCTCTCTTTCTATGCAAACAACAAAAAAAGAGAAACAGAAAGAAAGAAACGCAGATGCGGACGAGGTGGGGCCGGTTGTTTTCCATCTCTCGGCCGGCATGAAAGCAACGAGCGCGGTGTCAGAATCACGTGGAATTGCACCATTTGGGCAATTAGCACGAGAACAGCAGGCCGCACGCGCCTCCGACCATCGACCCCGCCACACCTCCCCCGCTCGCACGCCATGAATGAGACAACGAGAGCGTACGGTTACACACTAACGACTCTGGCGTTGTGCTCGTTACAAGTGTTACAATGCCGTTTGTTGCAGCGTGTCGTGTCGATAGTTTCCAAGTCTTTCGTCTCTCGTCGTCGTCTTCGCTGAGACGTGGCTTGCATGATGATTCCGCAATATTATCGATGATGACGAATCGATATTATTGCAATTGATATTATTTATAAGAAGCATATATCGCAAATACGTAAAAAATATATATAATGATGAAAATTATGAAAATTGCAATTGTTGAATCTGAAAGATGTGGCAAATGTTCTTCAATTCAAGTTCTTAGTAATTTTGGGAATTTGAAGTTTCGAGATTTAACAATATTAGATAAAGAGAAAATACCTTCATAGGGATACAATAGATAGATTTTTTTTTATTCTTTTTTCTTATGTGATAGATATACTAATTTGATAGCTAATTTGGTATTTTATAAAATTAAATTTGTAGATGATTGAATTCCTCAGTGAAAAATAGTTTATACCCGCGCGTCCGCCATCCAGCGTAATCCATACACATTTTTTTTAACATCGCGTGCTGCGCTAGCTCGACTCACTCACGATATATTAATTTTTAACGCGTGCGAGCGAACGCATTTCGCATGCAGTACATTAGTGCTAATTGGCTCGACCATGGTTCTTGTTGCAGTCTTTCTTCGGACGGTCGTACAACAACTTGAACAGCATCGCCGACTGCAAGAACGGCGGTGAGTGTGTAATAAATAAGAAGAATCGCACCGCGTGCAAATCTTGCCGGCTGAGAAAATGTCTCCTCGTCGGCATGTCAAAGTCCGGCTCGCGGTACGGCCGCAGATCGAACTGGTTCAAAATTCACTGTCTGCTGCAACAGCAGCAGCAGCAAGAGCAGCAGCAGCAGCAGCAGCTGGAGCAACAGATGCAGCAGCAGCAACCGCTGCAGCCGCGTCAGCAGCATCAGCAGCAACACTATCAGCCGGCTATTCTCATGTCGCATCAGCTATCGCAACAGCAACGTAATCCGAGTTCGCCCATCCACGGCATTCACGGCAACCAATGTCGGGACGAAGCCATGATGATGAGTGCGGACGACTATAAGAACTCCAGCTCGCCAAACATAAGCTCGCCTGAGTCACACAACAGCGACAGCTCCGTCGACGTCTCCGAGAGGAGGGCGGCTTTCGCCGGCCATCACAGCATCCGGCCTCTCCCGCACATACCACCGGTTGATTTGTCTACCCTGGGCTTGCCATTAAACTTCCCTCTCGGCGGTATGTCGCTCCTGCCGTCGGCCTTCCTGCCGCCGCCCGGCCTCACCATGTTCTCACCCTACGCTCACGTGTACGCGACCCCACACGGTGCACCCCATCCCTTCATGGCGAATCATCCGTCCAGCATATTGCAACGCTCGCCGGCGACTACGAGCGATGAGAACGATGAGCCCGCGACCGCCACGACGTCGACCATGACAACGACCGTAGCCACAACGACCGCCTTGAGAGTCTCGACGTCGTTAGCCGACGACAAAGACTCCTACGAGAGAAACAACAATAACAATAGATTCTGCCTAGATATGGTATTAAAGAGAGAACGAACACTGTCGGAGAGGTCGGTGACGCCGAAGAGGATGCGAACTTCTGAAGGTGGTTCGACTGAATGCAGTCCGGAACGGGAAGTCGCCTGTCCACCACCGCAAGATAATCCAATGGATCTCTCTATGAAAACCGTCGCGACATCCGCTAGCAATCATTCGCAAAACGAAGTAGGAAACGAGGAGGTGAATAATGTTAGCGATGCAGAAAACTCGGCTGCGAAGAAACCGATAGATTTAACGACAAGGTCCTAAGACTTGACCAAAACTTGATTTGAAAGGATAAAAACGATTGAAATGAAATGAGATATTAAAATAGAAAAAGATTCGAATAAATTTCGATAAGTGATACCAACAAATCTCGATTAAGCACGTAATAATCTTTTTGTTATATTTTTGAATTTATATATATATATAAATTCGAGATAAACATTTATGTCATCGATCACGTGCCGTTATTTTAAATGGACTTGCAACATAGCGGCTCAAAGTTATAGTTAAATTTTTCTCTTGATAAATCGATAATCAAATATGATACTGATTTCTCCAGTTGTCCTTCAGTTTTATATAAATTGATGAGAAAAATAGAGAGATATTTTATAGTAATATTAATTATTATTATTTTCATATGAGAGAAAAAATATTCTTTATCTTCGTTTTTTTTTTTTTTTTATTTACAAGATCTCACACAAGTAATTTTTTCGTCACGTAATTGTTTCGTTCGTTTGTATGGAAGTTCAAGTCTTTCGAAAAAATGAAAAATGTGTGCCGTTTGAGATTAGAAATGGAACACATATAATCGTCACGATTTCTTCACAGCCTATCTTTAGTTTTATTTAATCGATCGTTGTTATTATTATGCGCTAATAACGAAAATTACATTTCGATGTACTCGATAGTTACGAAGGATAAGATTCGTCTAGATCGTTAAGTAGTGAAATAAAATAGTTTATTATATTAATAACACACTTGCGTTGGTATTTATATTGTCATTAGCGAGAAAAAATATCTCACACACGTTTTGTATACTAAATTCTATATATGACAAAATACGAGAAAGGCAATTTCAAAGATTAATGCTCTCTTTTATTTAAAAAAATTAATTTATATTTTATAAAAAGAGACATATATTTAGTTCACAAATTTCTATATTATATATATATATATATATATTTAATACACTTAATTGTATAGTTTAGATATCTATATAGAAATTTGTGATCTAATTGTGTAATGAATACTTACTAAATTTTTTTTATTAATACATACAGGACAAAGGATCTAATTTTTATTTTATGCTTCTCTCGCATGGCATTTTTTTCATATTAGAATTATAGAAGAGCATATTTCCTCAATACAAAATTCAACAACGAATTCTAATAAGCTTTGACATCATCTTTGTACAATTTTTCTAATCTTCCAAGTTGGTTTAATGTATACCGAATATCAGCAATAAAGTGTTAAACAAAAAAGGAAGTAACACGACTAAAAAGTAACACAAAAAAATTTGATTTAAAAAATTATGAGATATTATCGAGTTGGAAAGTAAGTTGACATATACAAATCGTTGTACATAAATCTATGACATGTACGATTACGTATACGATTATTCTTAGTCATAACTAGTAATTTAGAAAAATTAATAAAGAATATAATAGTTTGATTATATTCCGTCGTTAGAATATATAAATTTTTTTAGAATGCCCAAAATCGAAACATCGGATTTATGACAAGCAAATTTCATTATGATTTTGTTCGTTACTAATTGCTTATTTATCGTGAATCTCAATGATTCCACCAGTGAAAGAGCGAAAGATAAATAAAAATACAGGGAGAATTTTTTAATTTCTAATAAATCACAAAAGATCCACCATATCACGTGTCAGATCGTTATAAAATAAAATTGTACTTTACTTGCGTCATTTGATATCACAGTCTTGGCTTTAGATTTAATGTAAAACTTTAATTGTAAAATTTTAATTGATTACTACATTTGAGTTTATATGAAATATTATGTAATCGCATTTGTTGTAATATATTAAGCATTACGTAAAAAAAGAAAAAACGTTTACAAAATGTTAGAAACGTTTTGAAAATATTTAATGCAATCTAATGTTAAATCATATTTGTATGTATCACAGTACAGATTCACGAGCGAAGTTATTGAAAGAGTTTGAAAGTTTATTAATGATAACCAAAGTAAAAACTGAAAATTTGTATGCAAAGTTTACAAAGAAAAAACTTGTATGCTTATTGTAACAGTGTTTTAAATAAATTGTTACTATTGTCGCAAGATTTCTCCATAATTTAAATTGAATTGTATTAATCATGAAAACTAGTCGTATTGAAGAATATTATTTTTTATTCGAAGAACGTAAAAATAGTAGATTTCATAAAGAAATAAAATTAGTGAGACCTGAACAAATTTTGCGTACAATATTAAAATAAGTGTAGAGAAATATTTTGATGATTGTTTTGTGATTATGGGAAAATTAAATGTAATTAATGTTTTTAATATTTTATTTTCGGACGTTCTATGAATCTTTGTTCTCATTTATAGAAGTATTCATAAAAAGATAATTTGTCTTTCAGTAAAAGAAAGAAATTGTAAAATCAAATCATATTCAAAAGAAATATTGTAAAATCAATAATGTACAAAAATGTAGATTTTTTTTATAGAAGCTTTATAATGAAATCGAAATGCAATAAACTCTAGTAAAATCTATAATTAGTTTGAATATTTTATGAAAATTTAAATTTGTATTAACTTATTTAGTTCAAAATAAACTATATAATAATTTGTAAATAATGTCAACTTATATTATTTCCATTTCTTGATGTTTTTAACACTTTTATGCTTGTTCCATTAATATTTCGCAACGATTAATGCAAAAATACATATTTTTATTAAGAAAAAAAATCAATATCTATATTGTAGAAAAATTATACATACGTAGCTATTTTCATTTATTTGTAATATACTGTGCTAAATAAATACCGACGCAAGGTAGCCATAGCCGTTTAATGGAATTTAGAATTATTTTTATATTCAAAAGCATATGTGACGCAGGACATATATGCAATATATACATATAATATGATATATATTAATATACATATATGTTTATGTGCGCATGTATGTGTACGTGTGTTTAGCATGAAATTATATTGCGTAGGATAGAGATGTTAGATCTTGTATATATGTTATTTGAAAGGTACAAATCTAAAATAGCTCGTTTTTCACTCTAAGCATGGTCACGGGGTCACGCAAACATGAAGTAATGGGAAAGATGGTGTAAGAGAAACAGCAGTAAACAATAGGAAAGCGAAGTAAAATTCGATTGTAATAACAATAAACACTGATGGCGACGTTAGTGATTAGTAGTAGACATAATGGCCATAATATTGTCACGGTTACAAAGATTGACAATTGACATTTGGTAGGATTAATGTTCGTGTTACAAGAAATTAGATAATCATTCGCGTACGAATATGCAATACTTCCAAATATGACGTGTTTCCAACCTTATTGCAAACAAATAATGTAGATAAATTTAAAGAAAAGAGCGTTTCGCATAGCTGCACATGCTACATTACACAGTTTTAAACAAAAAAATATGTACATATAATATTATAAATGTAAATATAATGTTACAATTTTCTGTATTTATATTTTATATTTTACACATATAGTTTATATTTTATTTTATTCTATATTTTATTACGTTCTTTCTATAATATAAAGTCTCTTCAATCTCCATAACAATCGGAGGCCTCTACACAAATAAACTTTTCGCGTTCTTTATTATCTAGAAAGTCGATATTTTAAAGCCGCGCATGAAGTAAGGAGAAATCAACTTCTCATCTTTTCACTCGGACGCTGTGCTCATAGGGCGAACATAATGGCACAGGAACCGGCACAAAAGAGCGATGTAGCGATCTAAGATACGCGCACGTTGAATGGCCGCGTGAACGGCATGTTTCGCAGCATCCCTTAATTACCCCGCGCGCTCGCGGTACAATCAAAATCCCGCGATCGTTCTTTCTCTGCGCGCGAGCACGCGCGCGAGCAGGCGCGCCATGGGAGGAAGGGAAAGAAAGAAAAGGAAAAAAAAGAGAGAAGACTCGCGACGGCCGACATCTCAATTCCGAGGTGAGCGAGCCGCGCCA